CTTATAGAAGGAAGAGGCTGTTCTGAGGGTGGAAGAGTGCTTTCTTATAGAAAGGAGAGGCAATTCTGAGGGTGGTGATTTCTTCCTTATAAAGAGATAGGGGCTATTGTGAGTTAGGGTGGGGCGGGGCCTTATGTGACTTAGAGAGTCCATTTTGAGGATGGGGATGTCCTTCATTATATGGGGAGCAGACCGTTCTGGGGGTCCCTCATGTGGCAGAGAAAGGATGTTCTGAGGGTGCCGGGCCCTTATAGCTGAGATTGTTCATTGTCTGAATAAAACAAGGAATAATTCCTTGGCTGGAGGTAGGGGGATGCAGCAGTTGGAGGACTGGACTATGTGGAGTATAGGGAAATATTTCCTTATATCATTGAAGGAACCAGACCATTTTTGGTGAAGAAACTATTGATTATATGTCAATCCTTGGGACAGTGTGGGAATCACTTCTTATTTGTTAGATTATTTTGGATCAGAAGGAATTTGTCCTCATAGGAGGGAGGGGCTGGAAAGACCATTCTGAGTGTGAGGAAATGAAATAATTTCTTAGTTGGGAGAAAGACTGATTTTTAGGGGGTGCTTTATACAGTGGTCTCATTCCCTGTATTGGGATATCAGTCTTTACATGGGACAACCCCCTCATTAAATAGAAACAGCATTTCATATAAATCTTTGGTTTGCTCACCCATAAAATGGGAATCCTTATAGTTCCTTCAGAGATCAGAGCAATATAAGGGTCTTTTGAGGTAATCCATATTAATCCCTTAGTCCAGTGATAGGCACACAGTAAGCACTCAATAAATGTTGAGAATTGTAGTTGGTATTTTTCTGGGGGAGAATTGCTTCTCACTTGGGAAAGGGGGTGTCCAGGGCCTGCCCTAGCCATTTCCTGACACCTCAGGAAGGATTCCAGGTATGGGCCCTGCCCACTTCTACCTTTCTGGCTCTTCTTCCTGTGACTGAGGCAGTGGGAGCAGGAAGAGTCAGACTCTTATTGGGTCAGGATGGGCAGGCAGAGGGAGGAGAAAGCAGTGGTGGCTAGGAGGATCCTGGGTGAAAAAGGAGAGGGGAGGGTGATGGTGTGGCTATGCTCCAAACAGCTTCTGACTCCTTCCTCCTTGCTCCTTCCATTCCCCACAGCTCACCGGCGCCTCAAATACATATCCCTAGCTGTGCTGGTGGTCCAAAATGCCTCCCTCATCCTCAGCATCCGCTACACCCGCACACTACCTGGCGACCGCTTCTTTGCCACTACTGCTGTGGTCATGGCTGAGGTGCTCAAAGGTCTCACCTGCCTGCTGCTGCTCTTCGCACAGAAGAGGGGTATGAGCCAAGGAGGGGGGCTGCACTGGAGTTGGTGGGTAGGATTCTGCCTGTGTGTGTGTGTGTGTGTGTGCGCGCGCGTGCGCATCTGCATCCACATGGAAGGTTTGCTGGGGGAGCATCTCTGTGTCTATGAAACTGCCTGGGAAGTGTGTAAGTGCAGCCAAGCTGCCTTGTTCCTCCAGCTATGAGTAGCTGTATCCATACTTTTATACCCCAAACCCCCTTGGAGCTGGCCTGAGGGTACTGTATAAGTGAGCCAGTCTGTGCCCATAAGTAGCAGGTGACACTTACATGGTGATTGATTTATTTCTCTTTAACTTTTTATTATGGAGAATTTCAAACACAAAATATGAGAAAATGAAAAAATAGTAAAATATGCATGTACCCATCACCCAGATTCAACAATTATTAACTGATGGCCACTCTACCATAAACAGCATCAGTGATTATCCACTCACTACCAATGTATATGTTTGCCTACCTACCCCCCCACCTTATTATATTGAAGTACATAAGTCCTCAATGTCATCAGTGGGTTCAGCAACTTTAAATGAAACTATGTATAATGAAACCAATTTTACTATAGACTAATTGATACAAACGAGTTAAGTTCTTAGGCATTTCATCAACAGTTATAACACAGTGCCCTATATCCCACTTGAAGTATTATTCTGAAGTAAATCCCCTTTATTATCTTGAGTATATATTTTGGTGCATTAAAAAAAATAACTGCAGCCTGGCCAGTGTGGCTCAGTGGTTGAGTGTCGCCCCATGAACAAGGAGATCAAGGTTTGATTCCTGTCAGGGCACATGCCCGGGTTGCGGGCTCAATACCCAGTAGGGGGCATGCAGGAGGTAGCCAATCAGTGACTCTCTCATCACTGATGCTTCTATCTCCCTCTCTCTCTCTCTGAAAAAATCAATAAAAACATTTTTTTTAAATGCAATATCTAAAATCATACATCAAAAAATTAATAATTTTAAAAGTTAATAAAATAATCAAATATCCAGTCGATGTCCAAATATTCCAGTGATTTCTCAAGTGTCATAAGCATTTTAAAAATTGTATTTGAATCAAATTTTTTTTTATTGAATTTATTGGGGTGACACTGGTTAATAAAATTATATAGGTTTCTGGGGTACAATTCTAATACATTATCTGTATATTGTATGTTCACCACCCCAAGTCAGGCCTCTTTCCATCACCATTTATCCCCCCTTTATCATCTACCTCTCCCCACCTCCCTTCCCCTCTGCTAATCACCGTACTGTTGTCTTTCTATGAACTTTTGGGGGGTTTTCTTAATCCCTTCGCCTTTTTCACCCAGTCCCCCAACCTCCCTCCCCTCTGACAG